CAATTTTACATTTCATAAATACAACATATTTTTTCGCGCTCTTAAAACCTAATATCTGGCGTACAAATTGAGATATTTGTGTTCATTAGACAATTGAAAGTTGTTGTTTTTAAGATAAAATTAACCTAACATTAATGACGTTTAAATAAACATATGTTTTTAGAAAAGGTGATTTTCTAGCATTTTATTTTGAGATTATTTACAAAAAGTCTTTTGATAATGAGCTAATAAGTGAAAAATCAAAATAAGTAAATTTAGTTTTAATTATAATTCAACGTAAGGCAGTTTTATTCTCAGTGTCTGATGTTATCATTAATTAATATACCTTGATAATATGGGATTGTAATTAGTTTCTACATTAAGTTTCCCAGCCTTTTTCTTACATTTTAAATAGACACAATAAATAGATCTTGATTTTAATTAAATGGATATTTTTAAAGTTTTTTAATTAGTTATTTTGTGATAAACCAGCACCAGTGCTATCGCCTCCATGTGTTTCTTGTCAATTATACGGTTTTCTTATTACATGAAATAATGACGATATTATTCTAGTCGGACGAAGATCACCTTGGAGACAATAAAAACAGGTATTATTCGAGGCTGAACAAGACATCAGTTCCTTGAATACTCCCCAAAAACAAAAATATATTCAGAGGAACAGATCGGTAATAAGCACAATTAACTTAAGCTCATTGTTTGAAGACACGTTAATAAATTACTACAATAACCTAAGCCAGTTGTGCTTTCTCATCAAGTGTATTTGAATCGTGAAAAATAAATAAATTTAGTTGTTAAAGATGTTATTTTTCCGCATAACTAAAACTTGTATTAACCGGAAAAGGTACGATAGAGGGCGCCCGTCCAGTTCTGTACTATTAATTCCAAGCATTTTGCTTATAATGTTAAAGGCTAAATATGTTATGTTATTTAAAAGGTGTTATACAGAATATTAAGAAAGAAAACGACCGGTCTGAAATTAGTTCAAGCTGCCAGTGGGACCAAGTAAGCCGACGTCAAAGTTGAATACGCCACGAAACAAGTCGTTTAGTTGTAGTTACGTTGGACGTAAACCCAAGAGATAATAAGTATATTCTGAAGAAGCCATCCGTACATAAGCCAGTGTGAAAGCGATAACACTCTTTTCTCGCTCATGACAAGATTTATCTCATCTTTTCTATCAAAATACGGTTCTAATTCATTGAACTGTAGAATTTAAATCAACTACGATGTACTAACAGAACACAATGTATTTTCATTTTTCTATGCGTTTAAGGCAGCCAACCAGTTCTTTTTGTAGTTACATTTCTCACCGTAAGGGGGTTTTGGTAGAAAATCGATTCTAATGTTGTACTACTGTGAAGCACGAGCTTCTAGAAATTTAACAGTTTGAAAGTGTTTCTTTTAGAAGAAATGTGTGTCATTACAGTGTAATGTACATATTAACATATTTGACGGAAATTTGGCGAGAAACTATGTCTAAGAGTTGAAATTAAAGATAAAATCCAAATACTGATGTAAAAGGGTAATCCCGAATAGCTGTCAGGCTAACTTTTTAATTAGTTAATTTTAAACACATAACTCCATTTGCCACCTTGTAATAAAAGGATATCCGTTTGAAAATTTTTATTGGGTAGGATGCCCAAGCTGATGTCACATATTGACTGATTAAACGTCTAAATGAAACTGGATACACAATATATTGATAGAGCCATTTGGGCAGCACATCCCAGATAGTAATAGTTCAACCCCCCTACTGGCTACACATTATATTGATAGAGCTATTGGAGCAGCACATCCCCAGATAGTAATAGTTCAACCCCCTACTGGATACACATTATATTGATAGAGCCATTGGGGCAGCACATCCCCAGATAGTAATAGTTCAACCCCCTACTGGATACACATTATATTGATAGAGCCATTGGGGCAGCACATCCCCAGATAGTAATAGTTCAACCCCCCTACTGGATACACAATATATTGATAGAGCCATTGGGGCAGCACATCCCCAGATAGTAATAGTTCAACCCCCTACTGGATACACAATATATTGATAGAGCCATTGGGGCAGCACATCCCCAGATAGTAATAGTTCAACCCCCCTACTGGATACACATTATATTGATAGAGCCATTGGGGCAGCACATCCCCAGATAGTAATAGTTCAACCCCCCTACTGGATACACATT